CCGTGGCATTTAATATAACAAATGTTATTTGATCCCGCGGTCCTATACTAGCGCGAGCCCCGCGCGTATTTTATCGCGAACGCGCGCGCGCGCGCGGTCCGATATCGCGCAAACCGACGCCGCCGTCGCATCACTGTCATAAATTCGCAAAAATCCGAAACGCCGTGTATTAAAAAAAAATAAATAAATAATCGGTGTTCGCGCGCGCGCGCGCGTGCGCGCGAGAGTTTGTTTTCGCGTCAAGCCTCCGTGCACCCTCGCGAGAGCCTGCGCGCGCTTTCTGCCTCAGGCAGAATTTTTCACTCGCGCAATTTGCATGGCTGCGATCGTACATCAAAAAAATTGCAGTGCCTCTCGCGTAACCTCCTCCCCCGCTCCGTCCCCCCCCCCCTCAGAAGTCACGGCAATGTAAACGGATGAACCTGCCCGAGATTCGCTTCGCTCATGCCCGCCGCGCGCTCGAAATCCCGGATTAGAGACTCTCTCGCGACTCCTGTGGTTTTGTGTATAAATTTATAACAAACTCGTGGGAGGAGGGGAGAGCGACTTCAGCGGACCAGTGTGAAAGTCAACGCAGATTGGAAACTGCGAATAAATTATCGCTGCACTAAATCCTCTCATCAAACGGCGAAGTTACAGTCGGTGTTACCTTCTTAACGACCGAGCGTCCCAACTTTTCGCGCTTTTCCCCTTTGCCGGTATTAATATTACTCCACGATAGATTTCCCGATCGATGAAAATGTCGAACAAAAGCACCCGCAGACGTTCTCCTCGCGCGAATACGAGCCTCGAAGAGCTGCGGAGCACCCCCGGCGTGGCAACCACCAGCTCGGCGGCGGAGAAAGCTTTAGGAGTAACTCAAGTAACAAAACTCCGTTAACGGGCTAATAACGGGGCGAGACGATTGCGGAGTCGCATAATTCTGCCGCGACGCATATTTAACATGCTTTGAGCTCGCTGTGTTGCTGCTCCGCGAGCAAGGAACTGCGGTGTTCTGATAATACGCGTTTCGCCGCATCGTGCTAAAAGAGACAGAGAGAGAGAGAGAGAGAGAGAGAGAGGGGGGGGGATGGAGAACGAAGAGAGAGCAACATTGGTCGCTCTCCATTTCCTCCTCCTTCCACTCCCAATCCCCTGTTGTTACCCATCCTGCACGTTTGGCGATGCACGCGCGTGCATAATCGACGTCACGCTTGGATAAATACGAATTAGCGAGATCGTATTTGTACATCGGCTTTTTCCGTTCGCGATACGATACGATGTGACGCGATAAATACTGCGCTACGGTCAGGTTTTTCCCACGCACGCACGCACGCACGCACGCACATGCTACGTACAAACATGATCGAATTTTTTCATCCTTCACTTTTTCACAATTCTCAGCCCTCCTGCGCGCGCCCTCCTTTTTTCCTTTTGCCAACCCCTCTCGTAGTTTCACCGTGCAACCTGCCTATATAAGTTTCTCGTCTTCTTGCCTGCTTGTCTCTCTCTCTCTCTCTCTCTCTCTCTCTCTCTCTCACTCTCTCTCTCTCTCCTCCGTACACACACCCTTCTCATGTTCCCTCCTCCTCGACCTTCCGCTTCTACTCCCTTCTCCCTCCGTCGTTTGGCGAATTTTCATGCGGCAGCGCGATATTAAAGCACCGTTTCCCTGGGATATTTGCGCGTCGCGAAACATAGAAAATAGTTACGTCGCGCGCGGGCGCGGGACTCTTTTTCTTCCGCGCCGTTCTCACTGCTCCTTTAATGGAAAACGGAGGAGGACGGATGGATAGACAATATTTATTATGCTCCGGAACTCGATCCCCCTTTGCGAGCGACATAACGTAAATACGTAGAGTAGAATGGGACTGTCGCTGTCGCGACGGCGGAGCTCGCAATTGTAAAACTAGCTGAGGAAGTAACGATAGCTTAAAGGCAAAAATGTCGCCGCCGCGTGCGGGATATTGTATTGTGATCCCCGGTGACCCTGCGCGCGCGCGCGCGCGCGCGAGAGAGAGAGAGAGAGAGAGAGAGGAGAGAGAGAGAGAGAGAGACAGGCAGAAGGCTATCGACCGGATGCTCGATGCGCGCAGTTCGACGAGAAAAATGTTTGAATTAACGTTATTACGCCGTTCGCGCGTATCTAACGTTAAATTATGAGGGCGCAGGGGAGCGTATTTTAGAGTGACAGTTGGCAAACAATGAGTACGATAAGGAATGTGCTGTCGTTCACGGCGCGTAAATTTCCACTACCGTAACGATTATTCGTCGCGGTGTTATGGAAACGCGCCGCCGCTCATTCGCTCGCGACATTGTCGCCGAAAAAGCGAGGGGACATATTTTACTGCACACGTGGAAGCTCGCTAAATAGCGCTGTTCAGCCCGGGGAAATATCTCGCGATATTTAATATTATTTACATTGAACGTTTTCAGGCCGCGTAACATTAAAATCGCGTTTCACGCGCGACCGGCAGCGCAGCGGCACAAAATTCGCGCACGAGAGAAAAAAAAAGAAAAAAGGAAAAAAAAAAACAGCAGCACCAGCAACGGACGAGCACGCACGTATGTTGGCGAGCGCGCGTCTGATTGCAAATCCCGCGTACGTACGGATGCGTTGTCCCCGCTCGCGAATTAATCCGCGGCGTTTTGACGCATAAAATTCGCCTCATCGATGAGCCATTAATTAGCTTCCGCGGCACGGACGCAGCGGCGGCATCAAGCAGGATGAACGCGGGAGATCCTGTCCGCGCCTTCCGTCGCACGCCGCGCGCGCGTGACGAAGTAACGCGCCATTCGAGCTCGAACCACCCCCCGTCGCGCCTCCAACCCTGCCAGTCCACCCCCGCGGTGTAAATAATACGCGCTGCGCAACAATTCGCAACGCGATTACGGTCGAATCTCGCGCACGGCCGCCGACGGAGAAACTCGGTATGATCATCTGGAATCCTAGCCTCCCCGCTTGCCCCGAGAGTTCCGCCGACACGAGAGTTCAATGCGACGCCAACCGCCGATAAGCGGCTCTTCTCACCGTAAACTGAGCGGCCAAACTTTACACTGTGCTCTCGAAATTTCTTCGAGCGCTCGCTCGGAAAGTAGCCGGGCGGACGAGTCAAGTGAAATTCGAGCGACTTTGCACTCGACAATTCAAGGTCTCAGGCCGATCGTCGCTTGAAACTCGTATCAAGTGAGACACTCGGCTTTGATTTGGCAGGTCCTCGCTCGCATCGCGATTGTCGCGTAAATTACACAATACAATCCAACTCAAGAGAAGCTCAAATCCGCCTCCAAACTTGGAGTGAGCATCTCACGCGAGACAAATCTCAAGCGACGATCGAGCCTGAGGACTCGATTCGTATCAGCGCGAGTTTGACTCGGCTGTCACTCTTCTGCAAGACTACCGGGAGTACATTTCCCGGGGGACTCGCCTGGTCGAGAGATCGCTACTTTTGTCGGCCCGACCGATTGTCTTGTCGATAAGACGCGCTATTATCGGGCCCGGCCTTTTCGCGTCGCCGGCAACTTCTGCCGCTCGTATCAGCGGCGCGCGCGCGCTAACTTTTATTCCGAAGAACTAAGGCTCTCTCAAGATTCCCCCAGACTTGACCCAGTCCGCGACGCTGCAAAGTTTCGCGAGCGCGGGCATACCCACGGACGAGTGCGGCCGTAACGTGGCGAGAAGAAGTTTTGCGGTGCCACGCCGATACCTCGCTGCGTTATTCATGGTATACTCGTCCACACATTCAAGCCGAGCCGGTTAACGCCGAAATTCACGCAGCGAGCCCGAGTGGCGCTGCCGAGGGTAAGCGCGCTAATTAATTTCGCGAGACGCGGCGACGTGCCGCGCACCGTTTGAAAGTGCCGTTTTTCGCCGAGCGATATCGCCTTCCCTCGCCCGGGAGAGCCTGTCTCCCGAGAATCGCGGCAAAGTTTATCGAGTGTTTGACGTGCCTGAAAATTTCGACGTTCGGCAAAGACATGCTCGCGGGCGGGCGGGAGTTTACGCGGCAACAAGCGAATTCCTCGGCGTTTCCCCGAGGAGATGTTTCGCCGCGGATTTCGCCGAAAATCTCCCGACCGACGTATTAATATTCAGCGAAAACGTGCGTTGTGTGTGTGTATACTCTTTCTCTCACACAGACACACACACACACTAACAGGCGTCTCGCGTCAAACGTGGCGCATCTGGAACGCAAATACTAGCGCGCGTGGCATTACGCGGCCCGGGGGGCTTCCCCTCGGAGGAAAAAACAGTGCGGCGTGGACAACATCGATTAAACGTTCCTCCGCATGAATTAAAGAGACTGTAAAAATTTGTTTACCTCCGGGAGCCACCTCGTGACGGAAGCGACGCGGCGCGACGATCGGTCGGCTGCATTTTCAAATGATTTAAATTTCAGATTGCTCAAATGACCGGAGCCCCCGGAGACTGCCGAAGCGCAACGCTTCTTTCCGCCACCCCCAGTCCTCCCTCTTTCCCCCCTTCTCGTTCCTCTCCTCCACGTCGCCGCCGCAGCCGCTCGCGCGGAGACGAGAGCTTCATCAGGAAGGGAATAACAGCAGAACCGTACGAATGATTCCTCGATAATGCGGGCGGGAATGCGCGCGGTGGGCCGGTGCGATCGCGAGAGTCGTTAATTCCGCGGATGGTGCGTGGCGGATTGGCTTCTCCTCGAATTAAAATATACACGAATTCCGTGGATTCCCGCGACTCGTGTATCACCGGACTGGCTCTCTCTCTCTCTCTCTCTCTCTCTCTCTCTCTCTCTCTCTCTCTCTCTCTCTCTCTCGCAACGGCGAATCGGCGATCGTAAAATCACAGATTAACCCGCTCGGCAGCTCGATAAATTTTAGCATCGCCGCTCGTCGTCGAGAAAGATCGTCACGACTCGGAGCATCAGCACCGTCGCCGTGGAATAATGCACGGCGTCTGCCCGGGTATCTTCTCCACCCTCGAGCCGAGCTCGACGTAAGCTCCGCGATCGTTAGACGCAGTCTACAAGCGAACCTTGCTTTCACAGGCGGTGCGCGAGGCGGCGGCCGGAGCAGCAAGGTGTCGAAGCGGGCGAAGCCGCTCGATCCCGCCGATGACGACTATTACTACGATGACGTGGAGCCGGTGGACGAGAGGAACAATCCGACGAACGAGGCGCCGGTCGTGCCGCCCGGATTCCTGAGCCCGTCTGTGCGGGAGTACCTCGATCTCGGTAAATCGATACCCGGTACGTAAACAAGATCATCTCGCGTAAAGTTGTCCCTTTGTGAGCAGCTTGTCGGCAATCCAGCCGATGCAACAACCCTCGCTCTTCAGCCTCACCCTCACCCTCACCCTCTTTCGCTCCCTTTACTAGTCTTCCTTCCTGTCTCCCTCTTCCTCTTTCTCGGCTTCTCTCTCTCTCTCTCTCTCTCTCTCTCTTCTTCGTTTAGCAATCCTCTTTCTCGACGGCTTTCTCCGTCTCTCTCTGAGCTTCGTCGCTCTTTTGAGATCGAGAAGACAGCCGACCGATCGTGTTGCGCTCGAGGGATGAATAAAATTGGGAGGAACTTGGCCGGCGATTTGGAGCCGCCGCCGAGCCAGCCTCGAGAACGAGAAGGAATAATAAGGAAATGGGAAAAGTGAGCGATATGACGAGATAAGCGCGGAGGAGGTAAGCCGGGCTAAGTGGATCGAACGCATCGTGCGCGTCTCCGCGTAAAATATCTCACGCTCGACGGTGCCAGACTGCGAGAAACGCCAGGAACGCGGGGTGGCGCGCGCGGAATTGACCCTTTCTTTAAAACGCCAGCCAGCCGAAGTCCCCGGGACGTTTCACTCGACGGAAGGACGGGAAATGCCGTCGAATTCGCGAGAGATATGCAATTGCGCGTAAAGCCCCGAAGAATCTAATATTCTCATTCATGGGATCATCATTTCCGCGAACGAGGGCGCTGCGTACGGGGAGATCGCATCGCGACAGAAGGCAGGCGCCATGAATCTTGATCTTTCCACACTACGCTGATGCAAACGCGGCGAGGCATACAAGGTGTCCCGGTGGACACGCGACGCGGTGGTAGTTTCTCGGCGAGCAGCTCGATGAATCTCAAGCGAAACTTTTCTCAAGTTGCCGACACGCTCCGTCGAGAGGGCCGGCCGGCGCGGCGCGGCGGTTTCCTCGCTTGGAAATCATCGATTGATCTCTGTCATTTCCGCCATTACTTTTGCCTCCACCGACGACGGAGGAACCCCCGAGAGAAACCCGCGACGATCTAAAACCACGAACAAAGTTGCGACCGGGATTTTAAACTCTTTTGCAACAGCTCTCCGGGCGAAAATGACTTTCGATCTCGACGAGAGATCAGAGCTGCGACTCGATCGAGGAATCCGCGAGACTTCCGCCGCCGTTCGCCGCGGAACACCCCGTAGAAGCTTACTCCCCGGGGAGTAAGCGACGCGATGAGTGCGGGCGCGCACTCACGAAGAAGAGGAGAACGCCGCTGATGCGAATGAAACGTCAAGCCGGAGCGATACGCTTTGCCAGCTGTGATTATATAAGATTTGCCGGCCGCAAATGGATGGGATTTAAATCTAGACGGACGACGAAGACGACGACGACGACGACGACTCGTACGCGCGCAATACCGCGATATGTTCATGAACACCCTTCAGCGGTAATCCCGCCGACAATAGACGGCGGAATGAGGATGAGCGGGGCAGGACACCGCGCCGCGCCGCGCCGCGCCGGCCGGAAGTATAAGGAAATACGTAGCCGCATACCTCGACGAGCAATAACTTATCTTCCATCCACTTCTTACCTTTCCCGCCTCGTTCCCACAATCACATAAAGCGCGCGCGCTCGAACCGGGGAGCTCGTCGAATAACACCGCGCCCGGGCGCGCGCGGAGCCTCCCGCAATTTTACCGGTGTTCTCTCGGCGCAGACTCTCTTTGCGCAGACAGAAACAAGAAGGGTTACCCCACGTAACGCTCGTTCGTTGCGAGAGGCTTAGCCGATTTCTTCGTACACTTCGTTCCCTTATTTTTATGCACCGCTCGACGTCGCGCGAGCACGAGGTCTGTCGGCACGATGTCGCGGTTGATCACGCGAAAATTCGCCCGGTTCAGTTCAGTCGGCGGAAACACACAAGTGTAATTCGAGGAGCGTACGTATCTTTCGTATCTCGTCTCTTGTTGGCTCGCTGTTGGCCGCGCACGCTGAGTTTTCATCAAATTTTAACGTCCCACTTTCAGCCGAAACTCGCCGGCTTTTCCGATCGGTTTTTCTCGTCGTCGAAACTCGCCGGCGACTTTCGCGTGTTGGCTTTCCTCCCTTTTATTTTCGGTAATGCTCGCGCGACCCCCCCCCCTCTCTCTCTCTCTCTCTCTCTTGCCGATTGCGGCTGCACATATTCCCAAAATGACCGGCCACGACGTCGCGACTGCTGCACGGTAGAACGCGCGGCTTCAGTTCGCCGTTGCGAGAGTCGGAACGACGCAGTTTCGTCAACAAGTCTCGGGGAGAATTAGGAGCTTTAACGGGTGAACTGTGTTTGAATTAAGCGGAAAACAGCGGGGGATTTGCCGATAAGCGGTTTAAGAGGTCCCGCTTAGGGCCTCAGGATTACTCCTCCGCGAATTTATCATCGCTCTGTAGGCTGATTCCCATCAAACTACTGCGACGATGTAACAATCGGGGCTCCCTCGCGCTCGGGAGCGCGAAATTGATCGTGACCATCATCCAAGAGGCTAACGTTACATCGTGTCGCGCGACATTAATGACTCTAAATAAATAATAAGCCGCACACTAATGGGCCTCTGCAAATTAACGCGCCGCGTAAATTACGCGTAATGCACCGGGTCCGTACTTTCTTGTCGGTCTCTCTCACCCCCTTCTCTCTTCTCTCTTCTCTTCTCTCTCTCTCTCTCTCTCTCTCTCTCTCTCTCTCTCTCTCTCTCCCTCTCTCACTTTCTCTCTTCCTCTCTTTACCTCCACGGCCCGAGAAGGGCGGTCTCGTCGTGTCGCTTTCGGTTTTCAAAATCATTACTTTAAGGTAACTACATTAGTAGCATCGTAAATTCACGTCAAGGCGGCTGAACGAGAAACGCTATTAATCTCGACTTCACCGGTTAGGATGCTGCTTTCTTCCGGAAAGCGCTCCATTGTTTGGAGGCGCGAATTTTACTCTATAAATCATAGAAAATAGATGCGCATCCGATGGGCGCGCCAATTAACAATCTTCCCTCCCTTCTTCACCTCTTCTTTTAAAATGAATGTGTGCGAGATAAAGCAAGCACGACGACATGCGTGCATTGTACGAGCCGCTGAGGAGAAAGCGCCGGTCGCGCCGGTTGCGCGCGGAATTCGCGCTCGGCGAGATAACGGAAAAAGCACAGGCGCGCGCAAATCGTCGAAACTCGCGGCGAATTAACGCGGCGTATTCTTAAACGCCGCTCCAATATCTTCGCGTTGTCGCGTCAATTTATGTCACTCACGGTGTTCGCCGGAGGCTACCTATGTGAAGCTGGCCCCTCATTATCAAAATTTGAAAAAAATGATTAGAGTTCTAGTTGCTCCCCAAAGAGTTCTAGAGTTCTCAATCGGTTTTAGAAATAGTTCTGGCGTTTTAAGCAGTCAAAAAGACAATTGAAAAAAGGGGGAGCTAACTTCACAAAACCGTCCACTTTAGTGAGCTAGAACTCTTTCATTTCCGTTCGAATCGATTCAAGTTATAAGGAAAATCAATAGAACTCTTCGGGGGGCCACCAGAACTCTAAAGAAGCTGATCGATTTTCGAAAAAAAATTTTCTCCTAACTGGACTTAGAAATTTTTTTCGAAAATCGATCAGTTTCTTTAGAGTTCTGGTGGCCCCCCGAAAAGTTCTATCGATTTTCCTTATGACTTGAATCAATTCGAGCGGAAATGAAAGAGTTCTAGCTCATCAGAGTATCGTCGATGCCGAATTTTCTAAGTTCAATTAGGAGAAAATTTTTTTTCAAAAATCGATCAGTTTCTTTAGAGTTCTGGTGATCCCCCGAAGAGTTCAATCGATTTTCTTGAAATTGACTTGAATCGATTTGAGCAGAAATGAAAGAGTTCTAGCTCGCTAAAGTGGGCGGTTTTGTGAAGTGGGCCCCCCCCTTTTTCAATTGCCTTTTTGACTGCTTAAAACGCTACAACTATTTCTAAAACCGATTGAGAACTCTAGAAGAACTCTTCAGGGAGCAGCTAGAACTTTAATCATTTTTTTCAAATTTTGATAATGAGGGGCCAGCTTCAAATAGGTACGGAGGCTTCTTCTTCAAGCTCTCGCTAACCTATCGTAACGGGCAAGAGAACGGGTGAGAGTCCGGCGTCGCTTCGATTTTCCACGCTCGCCCTTTCCGGAGGGCGACGTCGGCCGGTGCGCTCTTCTCCCTTTTTAGCCGGTCGATCGTAAAATATTTGCAGCCTTCGTGTTCGGAGGGAAAATTCCTATAATGGAGTTTGCACATCGCATCAACGGAGGGTGGTAGCTACGTACATGTAGGTAGGTAGCTAGGTAGTTAGATAGCTAGGTAGGTAGGTAGGCAGGCAAGCAGGCAGGCAGGCAGGCAGGCAGGCAGGTAGGCAGGCAGGCAAGCAGGCAGGCAGGCAGGCAGGCAGGCAGGCAGGCAGGCAGGCAGGCAGGCAGGCAGGCAGGCAGGCAGGCAGGCAGGCAGGCAGGCAGGCAGGCAGGCAGGTAGGCAGGCAAGCAGGCAGGCAGGCAGGCAGGCAGGCAGGCAGGCAAGCAAGCAAGCAAGCAAGCAAGCAAGCAAGCAAGCAAGCAGGCAGGCAGGCAGGCAGGCAGGTAGGTAGGCAGGCAAGCAAGCAGGCAGGCAGGCAGGCAAGCAGGCAGGCAGGCAGGCAAGCAGGCAGGCAGGCAGGTAAGTAGATAGGATGGAGAGGCAGCAAGCACTGCGTGTGTACACGTTACACGCGATAGAAAATGTCGATCGGGCGGGATTTATAAGCGTGCACGCGCATAACGTGCGCGCAAGCGGTGCGCGTAAAATTCATACACTAAATTAAATATGACCTTGTGTGTGAGTACTCGCCGAAAGTACATCCCAAGAGCGAGGCTTGAGACAGGGCGGGGGTGGTTCTCGCGTCAAAGTTCCTAAGGTTTACCTACGGCAGCGGTGCTCCGCGCCATCATCGAGGATTCACATTCGCGCGTCATGGAAACACGCCAATGATATACGGCGGTTAATCCGCCGACCATTGTG